GGTCGAGTGGCTAGACGAACATGTTTTCCGGCGTCCGGTCCTTTGCCAGACGCAACCCTCAAGAAGCAAATGACCTACATCTTGGTCATCTCGTTTTACCCCAGAACACCAGAAAATGGGGGGGGGGGGTTGATCAGGTCCTTTGCATGGGACTGCCTTTGGGGAAAAGCACCAAAATGATATTGTCCCACTAAATGGGAACAGTTACCCATGGTCATTTGGGTGCCAAGAATATTGATGCAACCCCCCAAATCAGCGGATGCGCGTCAGCCACGGGGCGTGTCTGCCTCCAAGCGCCTGCGCTGCATCTCTCCCAGGCACCACAGGGCCCGCTCTGAGTCGAAGCACTTCAGCAGCGCGTTGAAGCTCACCGTGCTGCTTCTCACCGAGCACCTCTTGCTGCTCTAGGCGCGCTAGAATTCATGAGGAGCCCTAGAAATGGCGTCCTTTCAGTTTCCCGTTGAACAAAGCTCAGTTACAACGGCAGAACCGTGTTGTTTTTTTGTTTAAGAAAAACAAAAACAAGAACAAAAAAGGCCTGAATCTGTGCGCGTGCAATGGAATGCAGGTGCATCAGATGCGCGCGTTAAGCCGCGCGCATGGATATTGGCGCGTGCGTCAAAGGGGGCCCCAATCCTTCCTATAATCCTTCCTATGATAATTTCCATCGTCTCTTTGAACACAACTGCGCCCCCACCTGGTGAGATCATCAAGGAGCCAGAGTGCCCGTGTCCAGCCCTTCCTCAGAGCCGGCAAGAACGAACTGCTGTGGCTTCTCATAGCAGCGCAATGCAAGCATTGCAAGCATGATTGCTTCACGTCCAGGGTGTTGCTGGCTGTCGTGTCGGTGCGTGAATGAAAAAGACTGCTGCTTCCTCTGAGTTTCGGGAGGGCACTGGCCGCAGCACTATAGGTGAAGGCATCCACGTCGACGCTGTCAGACTGCTGCCACCTGCAGGTTGTACTGATCTCAAGTAGGGCTCACTCATGGCAGTTAGAGTTCGGGATCACTTTCCAGACGTCTTCCCTGACCAAAACCGAAGGGGTCACAAGCCGTTCGTACCTTTTGTGATAGGCATACCACCATCCTGCATTTTACTCTAAACTTCGAGGAATTCGAAATCCCTCGGACCAATGTTCAATCTGGCATGGTCTAAACCGGAAAACTCGCCTCGCCTCAGCACGTCCAGAGCCCTCTGCCACTCTCCGGCTTGAGAGCAAGCACCGATCATGGCATTGCAAGCCACGGTGGACATCCTCATGCTGGCGCTGGCGCAGTCATCCTCAGCGAAACGCCCAGAGGCCGTGGAAACGAAAACGGGCACGTGGCGTGTCCTCCCTGATAAAGAGAAGCCCATTTCCCAGAAATGGAAAAATGGGTAGCACAGGGTGCTGGGCGACCGGGCTTTTTGGAAACCCCTCCTGTCAGGAAAGCAAAAACAACCCTGACGTGTCCAAAAACCGCAAAAGCAACAACTTGTTGGTCCACTAAGCCAACTAAAAGCTAAAAAGCTAGGGGGATGGCTGGGAGCCAACAAGGAAAATGGGTGGTTAAAGAGAATGAGAATACACTGGTTTCTAAAGGAGATGGGAGGACCCCTCCAGCCGTGGCGCCAACACCGCAAGGGCGCGCTGCCATTGTTTTTGCGCGCCCAAGGCAGTGACGGCGCTGCCGCAGGCGACCTGCACAGAGCGGCCAAGGTGTAGGGCTGAAGTTGGGACCGCTCCCACAAAACTAAAAGGCGCAGTGCAAACAGGTTCGTTTTTACGGAAATCGGACAATTAAATGGCCATGGGTCAAAACCCCGTTAGCCCCAGTGAACATCCCAATCCCACTAAAATAGAGTAAAATGGGTGGTGCACCTACCCCAAAATGGTACCATTGGTTTTGACCCATGAGTCTCGTAAAGGACTGCACTTCTGGCTGAAAGGTAGACAAACCATTGATGCGGGGCATCCCCAACTTTTTTGGAGCTCCTGACTCGGAAGTTTGGGATTCGTGGAGATTCCCGCTGACCGGCAGGAACTTCCAGGCGTGTGCTCCGACATGGCTCGACCCTGCCCCGTGAAAACTCATATGCCAGACCCGAAAAGACACTTTGCAAAACGCAGCCTTTCTCAAATGTCGCTGTTCAGATGCTTGACATCGTTGACCGAATGAAAGCGAGGACAGCTCAGCTCAGTACGACCCTAGACCAAGAAGAACAAAAGGCAAGGGGCAACGTTGCATCTTTCGGGCCAACTTGGCGCCTCTCGCAGGCCGCTGACTCTGGTTTAGGTTGCCCTTTGGTGGAACCCTGGTTCTTTTGGAGGAGAAAATGGGACACCACACCTGCAAGCCAATCCGAAACAGCATTTGGGTATGGGTCAAGAATAGGGTAACCCCAAAATTGTTTACCCTGGCAAATGGAAACAGGGAGAAAACCCTGCGGAACGTGTTTTGCTGTTCCTTTCTGGTGGTTTACTGTTGACCCATTTGGACGCTGACTCCAGCCCGGCCATGTCCAGCTGCACGGCAGCGGCCCCCATGTGTGCCAAAAGCGCCAGCAGCTGAGCGGAGGGCAGGCACCTAGCGGACACTTTTGGCAGTGGAAAGCCTCCGAAAGCTTCACATGTGGCTTCGTCTTTGTTTGGAGGGTACCCCTTTTTGGAAAGACACACCCATGTTGGGATGTGTTTCCTTCAAGTAGCTTCTCTCATTGCTAAGAAAGCTCTTCAGGGGGAAGAAATCGAAACATCGGCTTCTCAATGTTCAGGCGTCAGTGCCAGCAACGGCCGCGGGGTGGCATCCGCTGCATTCTTGGCCAGCGACAAAATGGGTAGGCTTAGGCTGCTGAAGAGCAACGTCAGCAAACATTGCCGCATTACGTCAGCGTGATTGTGCAATTCATATGGTTCTCTACTTCCCATCAGTTCGGGTGAACAACAGCGCAAAAGTGCTGCATTTCTTTTCTGTTTGGTTCTCCCCTCTTCAGTCCTCTTCACACCAAGTCGCTTTCTGAATTTCTATCCTCCCTTGCTCCTCGCGCGACAAATCTCTTGGCCAAAGTCCTGCTCCTTCTGACATGCAACCCTCATTCTTCGGCCATTCCTGAGAGTGTGTTCAAGCACGCTTCAAGGGCAATGTGGTTAGGCAACCAGGCATGCCAAGATGCTACCTTCTGAGACGCTGAAGATTCAGCCGAATTTCAGAGCCATTATATAGGTTCAGCCCTGTGCTTGTGAATTCTGCTTGTGAGCTGGCTAATACGGATTGGTGCTGTTCGTTTTGCGACAGCCATAGCATCACAAAAGCATCAGTTCCCTGCCAAGCGTGTCGCAGGAGTGCATCCTAGTACATTGACGTGTTGAGTATTGTGCTTGAAGCCAGACGGGTCCGAAGAACGATGAGTCAACTTGTTGCGAAGGGCACAAATACAAGACGCATTGTGAAAGTTAACGTTGGGTTTGAGCCGGGGGGAAGCCAAGACCGAATTTCCCGACTTTCGCTCAAGTCAGACAACTGGGAGTCAAGGTGGACCGCAACCATGCGCCAGCAAATCGCGGAACCCACCCTTCAGATGGTCTGTCATTTAGAAAAGAAGCCTTTTCCTGCTGACATTATGCTGTTCGAGTCATCAACTCAAGTGCTAACTCGGCCTCTCAACTGACAGGGAGATTCCATACAGAAGGCATCATCTCAGCACAGCCAAGTCTGCCCGTCCAACTTGACTCCAATTTCGGTCCAATGGAAGTTGCTGGGCGTGTTTGTCGTAGGTTCTCTTTTCACTTGTTGGGATCCCCTATTTTGACACATACCCTTCTGGGAAAAAAAAGAAGAAGTTCGATCCCTGCGAAAACGCTGTTTCTTACGATGGCCTCAGGGCGGCAGTGTAGCTCACGATGCTCGGCTCTAGCCTCTTCGCCTGCATCTCCTCTCGGGTTCCCGACTGCAGCTACAGGTTGGGTGTCCCCTTATTGCTTCTTGCGCGACCACCAGCTAGCGGGTCAAAACCCTGTACCCTTGGTGAACATCAAAATAGGTGGTACATGGGTGTTCTTCCGCCCCAAAATGGAGCCATAGGTTAGGACCCATGGCCATATGAGCCATGTGAATCTCGAGTGAATACCTCAACGCATTGACATGCTGCCGCACTTGCGCAGTGTCCCTAGGGCCATGGTCCAAGCCACATAGCTGCAAAGCCCGTCATTTCCCAGTCTGCCGCCATTGGCCTCCAAGCAGATCCATGGCACACCTCTGATTTTGAAAGAGCCATATGGCTGTGGCTCAAAATCAAACAGGAGGGGCAAACCGCATGTTTTGGTCCATGTGTCCACTTACCAGGGCAACCCATTTTGGTACCGGTTTTTGAGCCAAAGCCATATGCTTCGAAGGAAGGAGGCAAAAACAACCTGCGCCATTCTATTGGACTGTTTGGGCCAAGCCAGGAGCTCTGAAAGACTCGCTTGACATGGATGTGCCTTTGTTTGAGGGTACTCTTTTGGTGGCTGGTTTCAAAGGGGAAACCAACAAGAAACCATATATGAAATCATCCTATGTTGAGACAAACCCATATGGCTGTGAGTCAAAAATAGGTACCCCAAATGGAACCCTGGCAAGTGGAAACACGGACCAAAAACTGTGGTCCCCTGGTGGTTCAATTTGGACCCATACCCATATCATCCGCCCGAATCCTCCAGAATGCGCAGGCCCTCCGTCCAGCACGCTGCGCGCTGGATGGCTTTTGTGCAGCTGCGCACATCGAGCGCGGCCATGGCAAGACGGGGAGATAGAAAACCGCGGGTTGGCTCGGAGCCAAAGGCGAGGCAGCAAAACCACCCAGTCACATTGCTGTTTCAAGGCATGCATGAGATACAGTCTGGTTCCCCAAGAGGATTGTGTCCGAGGTATAAATGATTGATTCCAGCATCAAGGCAAGAGGGACATCACCAAATATTCGTAACATGTCTCAATGTGAGCGCACACCGCTAAGCCAACGAGTAACCATCGAGCGCCGTGCCTGGTAAGGGGCCGGGGTGAAGTGGACCGAGGCATAGGAAGGCCAAGCTCCTATGGCCATGGGTCAAAATCCAAATCGGTGAGCCCCCAGTGAACATACGATTCAATCCAACCGCTAAAATAGGAAGCCTAAAATGGGTGGTGAATCCACCTACCCAAAAATGGGATCCCAAAACGGTTTTGACGACCACAGCCACATCTGGTCAAGTGAAGTTCTCTCAAGATTGCTCCACTTCGCTGGGCAGCCGTTTTATGCCGCTGGCCACCGGACGGGCGAAGCAACAAACGAAGCGCTTGGCAACATCCTCCACTGCGTCTTTGCCCCCGGCATCTTGGACCAGAGCAACATATCCTCGGGCGCAGAGCCAAGACCTGATGAGCCAGTTCCACACATCGTACATGGCATGGATCTATCTCATAGTGCGAACGGCGCGCTTCCAAGGTGTCTTACAGCGCAAAAACCCCTGCATCTGGCCAGTACTCAAACAGAAACAAACTAAGTCAGGCTCCATGATTGCCCCACTTTCACGGCGCCCCAAGCGGGAAGTGACTAATGCCGGACCCGCTTTTGTAATTGGCGGCGCTTTTATTCAGTGTTTTCCTTGATTCAAACTCCTGTAACTGTTTCGACGGTCGCCCCAATAGAAAAGTGTGTTTGCCGGAAAAACAATCCGGGCAAAAAGCAACGGGTCAAGCAATCTGGTAGAGACTGGCAATACTGAGTTAGAATTGGCAATGCTAAATCAAGTAGTGGGAATCTGAAAGGAGTAAGATCTTGGAAATACCAGAATAGAATTGGCAGTTCTGAATCAAGCACTGGGAACCTGAGAGTAAGGTCTTGGAAATAGCAACATTGCTCGCCGTGTCGGACACCTAAGAGAGGATAGAGGATAACCCCCCCCTAACAGTTAGTGGTGGCCTCTCCCGTCCGCATTTTGCCATCCGGTCCTAGGGTCCCCCCCACACTTTTGGGCACATTCTGAATACACCCACTAAAACAGCCTATTTTCAACATTCAAATTCAATCACCCAACCAATCCAACACCAAAAAACACATATTCACACACCCCTCTTCATTTCTTACCCCATCTCAACATCACCCCTATGCTCATTCAATAACAACAATCATAACTACACACCACCTCAACAAATCCCACCAAAAAAATCCAAGCTACATACCAACATTTTTCCATTCCCAAGATCGCAACCCCAAGATCTCAATAATTTCTCCCTTGATCCAACCTGAGACCCTTTCCCATTTCCAACAAATACGAACAGTCTAAAAAAACCCTATGTTCGCCCCGAAAAATGGTTAACCAATGGAAAAGGGAGAATTGAAACCGTTAACCCAAATCTTGAAAACAATCCCAGTAAAATATGGATGGCAAAATGCGGATGGGAAAGGCCTATGTAGGAAAGCACCCCCACGGCTTATACGGGAAAATTAAACTAAAATTACAACATATAAGATCTTATATGTTGTAACTATAGTATAATCAAGAACTGAAACATTCATCTCAATAATAGCTAGCCGCGCTTTCATTATCGCTAAATTCTTCATCCTCGTCATAGAAGTCTTCCGTGCTTAATATATGATAAAATCGGATATGCCATTCTGCCTCTGTTCTGAATGGCATCATTTCCAACAGTGCTCTCATTGCGTCGTAATAACCAATTCTCAAGTGTTTTCTTTTGTCATCAATACTATCAATGAACCAGAGCTGTTTAAATTTATTTTCAATATCATATATGTAGGAATAATTATAGAACGCTTTCAATTCTAAATATATTTCATAATGAGACAGTTAAAGTCATTGCCCAGAATGGGTTTCTTTTTACTCTTTCCCAAGTTGGAAAATGGTTTTTAAGAATATCATTATACCTGTAAGGACATATATCATAACAGTGATATGACATAATATTCAATCTAATTTCCAATGGTAGATTATTAATGTCGCACATACTTTACTTAATATATTAAGGTAATATTTCTTTAAATACATTTTCAGGGAAACAGAGAAAAATGTTTTCAATCAAGAATAAATCCCTGTATCTTCATCATAGTCGATTTGATAAAATGTCATAGTGGAAGACTTCGGTTCTTTAATTTCTTTGTTATTAAGTTTGTTTAAATAAATATTTCTTTTATTTTTATATTCACCATTGGTTCGATCTACTTCTTTACTTTGATAACTGTTTGTTAACGGTTTCTTCTTTTCCATTTCTTGCAAGATTTCTAAAATATTCTTATTCTGTTCTAAAACCTTGTTCAGTTTTTTAACCATCTTTTCTAATCCTTCATCCATGTAAATATATATATTATATTATAAAATAAAACTTTTAAAACTAAATGTTTAAATTATGTTAAATCTACTCTTTAAATACTAATTTTTCATCATTTGTTTAATAGTTTCCTGAGTTTCCTTATCACCATTATCGGATGGAGTAACTCCCCTCCCGAAGCGTATAGCAATATTATGAACATCTGTTTCTAAGTTGATACTGTCTTTAGTTTTATCAATATTCATTTTCTTATCATTTCTACTTATTTTGAAACTGGCTGGAATACACGAACATTTACAGTTTCCTTTCTTTTGTATTTCTAATTCATTTTTCATTTCTAATATTCTTTTACACATTGGACAAGCAAACTCAATAACTGATGTCTCTTTAACAACTTCTTCTTTTTCTTCATCAGTTGAAGAAACAACTGGTTCAGTCTTATTCTTTTTCTTTCTTCTCATTTATATTAATATTTACATTTTTATTTTTGATATATTGTATCATAAACTTAATTATTTCTAAAACAAAATAGCATACTTTCTTGCATCTATTATCAGTTATAACAACTTGTTCTAAATTCTCTACTTCATCTATTATATCAATATAATCTGAATAGCTTCTATTCATATAAAATAATAAATATAAAACATTTTCTAAATAACTTTAATATTATTTTATTATGTCAGATGTTCCAATAATAAAGCCAATAAACATAACTGAATATGAATTCAAACAATCTAAATATGAGCACGTGCCAAAATTACCATTTAGAAGTATTATAGTTGCTTCTTCGACAGGTGGCAAAACAGTATTGGTTCAGAACCTTATCTTAAATGTTTATAGAAATTCATTTGCAAGAATATTTATATTTTCCCCCAGCGTTCATAATGACCCAACCTTTACAGAAGTTAAAAAATATATCAGGGATGAATTGCACGTGGATGATGAAAAAGAACAAATTTATTTTGATAATTATAATCCAAGTGATTTAGAAAATGTAATTGAAAGACAGAAGAAAATAATTAATTATATGAAATCTAAAAAGATAAAGAAACTACATTCAATATTAATCGTTATAGACGATCACGCCGACGATCCTAAATTTGTTAGATATAGTAAATTATTACATGGATTATTTACAAGAGGTAGGCACGATGCAGTAAGCGTAATTTGTTCAACACAGAAATATAATGTGTTGGCGCCTATCATTCGTTTAAATGCCAGTTCATTATATATTTTTAGGTTGAAAAATGCCAGTGAATTAATGAGTTTTATTGAAGAAAATAGCGCCATTGTTGACAAACAGCAATTATTAGATATGTATCATCAAGCAGTGAATGACGCACCTTATAGTTTCTTCTACGTGAATATGAATGCTAAGAATGTGAATGACATGTTTTTTCTCCGTTTTGAACAGGCATTTCAAATTACAAATGATGAATAAAGATATTCTAATTTAATATAATATAATAATATGCTAATGAAACTATGTAGATGTGGTGGATTTTATCGTAGAGGTAATTACAATTTTCATACTAATTCTTGGATACATAAACTTTATAAAGTGTTAAAAAGACGACCAACAGACGAGGAATTATTAAGATTTCAAAATAACTTTGTTGATGAAGAAGATTTAATAGATGATATGTGTAGCAATGCCTCAACAAAATTACCAGAAGATGAAATGACAGATTATGATAGTAATTAATAATATTAATGTATGTTAATATTATCAATTTAGAATAAGGAATAGCTACATAAATTTAAGGCAGGAAATTTATAATATGTTTTATCTTTTTTACATTCATTAACTTTTTCTAATTTATTTATTATTGCTTTCAATGAATTTATTTGTAGAATATCAATTCTTGACATTTCACTTATCGTATTTACATCTATATCTTTTATTACTTTAATAGCCTCTTCATCATCAATTTCTACTGGTTTTGATTTACTTGAACCCATTATATATAATATTATTTAGATTTTAATTTTTCAAAATTATAATTGTTTTTCTTTCCGTCTTCTTCTTCTTCGTCTTCAGTTGGTGCTGGTATTTCTGTTGGACTTTCAGATGAAGAACTATGAACAGTAATAGGTGGAGAACTATGAACACTAACAATTTCATTAGAAGAACTACTGCTACCTTGTGCATTTCCTGCTGTTATTTGATTAACTAAATCTGCGATATTTATTGTTGTTGCAATTGCGCTATGTGATAAGTTTAATATTACATCTGCTACTGTAGCGCCGTTGTGTAGCATTATTTCTATCATTTTTGTCAGTTTGAATCTTTTTTCTTCTTCATCGCTGTCCTCCTCGTCTGGTGGTTTCTTTGGCGGTGGTTCTGGTGGTTTGTTGTTGTCGAGCATTTTAGTAAAGGCTGACACCATTGTGTCGCGTTGGTTTTTCAGTGTTTGTGTTGCTTGCGCTCTTGTTGGTTCATGTCTTTTGTATGTGTTGTGCCAAAAGTTTTTAAGCATTATTTTAAACATATTATCTTGGTTTTCCTTTACCTTAAACGCTTCAAATGTCATATTTAATTGTTGATTTGCATCATTATATAACTTTTCTTGAGTCTCTCTGGTTTCTGTGGCGATTGTATCTGTATTGGTTGCAATGTCAATAAATTCTCTCGGTATGCCCTTTTTCATCATTTTCGGTGGTTGTGTTGTTGTTGGTGTGTTTGGTTTTGTTAGGTTATGTATTGAAAAACTGTCGTCGTGATCATAATTATCATTGAACTTCTGCTTCTTTCTTTTCAGTATATTTTTAGTTAATATTATCATTAATTGTATTTAGATATTAATATTTATGGATAGCCACTGGAACCGCTCGCACGACTGGGAGGCTTTGCTTGTGACTTGCTTCTTGCCCCTTCTACTTGTGCTTGCTTTGCTATGTATCTGTAATAAATCACGTTGCCGTAATATTTTCCTAAATCTACCCTAATTGCATCCTTGCGGTCTTTTCCTTTGGCATTATCAAGCAACTGTATTATTTTAAAATAGCCGTCAAACTCTCTTTCTGACACCAAACCTAAATCATACATACTCCTAACTACATTAC